CTTACAGTTGTCATCTGAAGATATAGAACCAAATTTGTTTCTTTAAAAAGATTTTTAATCTCATGGGTGTTTTGCCTGCATGTATGTCTGCTCACCACATTCATGCCTGTTGCCATGTACGCTAAAGAGGGTGTTAAATTCCCTGAAACTGCAGTTGCAAATGGTTGTGCATGTGCTGGGAATCAAACCTGGGTCCTCTGGAAGAAGAATGAGTGCTCTTAATCATTGAGCCTTCTCTTCTCTCCAGCCCCCAGATTTCTCTATTACAGATAATAGCTGGGAACATGCAAAAATGCAGTTTTTGTAGAGACTGGAAGCAAGATTGAAGGGGGGAGGAGAGAGAGAGAGAGAGAGAGAGAGAGAGAGAGAGAGAGAGAGAGAGAGAGAGAGAGAGAGAGAGAGAGAGAGAGAGGAGGGGAGGGAGGAAGGGAGTGCCAGACTCTGGTTTAGCTTTCTTTCCTTGACCTTGATATTCTGCTTAAATGACATTTTAAAGAACACTCTTCAGGGCTAGAAATATAGTTCCGTTGGTAGAATGCTTGCCTCCATGAAGGAGACTCTAGGTTCCATCCTCCCCACTGCTTAATTTGGATTGGTAGGGTATGCTCCAGAGGTAAAAGGCAGGAAAATAAAAAAAATTCAAGGACATTTTTGTCCACATAACATAGCTCAAAGAAGGAAGGAAGGAAGGAAGGAAGGAATTGAATAAAAAAAGTTTTTACATGGAAAAAGACAGCCAGTCTGAAGTGTCAAGGAAACCCACTCACTTCCTCCTGTAAACGTTCTTGGTCTGATGGACCAAGGTTCTTTTGGAAAGCTGGCCCTGGAGCAAGTGGCCCCTGGGGCCTCAGTGCTGCACACAGGCTCATCCACACCCTTATGCTCAAGCCATCCCCACTGGCTTTTTCCCACTGGCTTTGCACGTTAGCCATCCCCACTGGCTTTTTCCCACTGGCTTTGCACGTTAGCCATCCCCACTGGCTTTTTCCCACTGGCTTTGCACGTTAGCCATCCCCACTGGCTTTTCCCCACTGGCTTTGCACGTCCGTGGGCAGGAATCAGCTAGTCCTGGGTGTGCCACACACAACCTTCCAATGACGCTTTCTTTTTAAACATTTTTTTCAAGTTGGCAGTTTATGCAACTTCCTCTCTTTGAGTTTCAAATTAGCCATTTCTAGAGCAGGGGCTGACGTCTTAGGGCCTCTTCCAGATGTTTTGAAATCAATGTAACCATGGCACTACTGGAGGCTGAGAAGCCCATCTGGGCCAACTGAGTCATGCCTGAGCACAGGGAGCTTCTGTTGAGGGGAAGAGGGGAGCCCAAGGCAGGGACCAGAATGTCCCTGCTGGAAGCAAGAAGTGGGTGGCCTGAGTTTCCCTGAAGGCTTTCACAAAGGCATTGGGACCAGCTATGACCTTTGACCTCCCTGGCCCAACAGCTTTGATAAAAAGGAGGGGCTCAAACATCAAAACCTTCACTAGCCTGCAGCACGTCCGTGGGTCTTCAAGACTCACCTGTGTGCACTTAGAAGGAACCCCGTCTCCAGCCCCCAGCCAGACAGCACCTCTCTCTCTCCACTCCTGACTCAGACCTGACTGAGTTGTCAGGTCATCCTAGCTTGTACCCTGCCACACTCTTCCCAGCCTCTGCTTAGCCCGTGATTCCTGTCACATCCACGCTCCTCTCGGTCCAAACTTCTACCCTACTCCCCTGGCTTCCACAGGCATCCCTGCTAGAAAACCCCTCTCCAAATTCAAGTCCCTGCCATACCCACACTCTGCCCTGACCACAGTGGGAACTTCAGTGGTCTCTTCTGCCCCATTACCCTGTAGCACCATCAAAGCCACAACTCTTGCAGGTGGCCTGACACATTGCAAAGGACTCAACAAACGTTAGTGAATCAATTACTGAGAAATGAAGTTTTCATCCTTGAAAACAGAAGTGTCGGTATCTATCAAGTAATTGCTATATCCACAGAATAAGCACAGATAAACTTTCTCTTGCAAACACCTAGTTTTGTCTTCTAAAAAACCCATGTAAGGCATCTTCTATCAGTTAGCATTCTCAGTTTCTTAGATGAGACTACTGAGGTGCAAAGGGAAAATGTGAATTGTACCATACGCACAGTTTTGGGCAAATTTGATTCCAACCTGGGCAATCATAGTAGTGAGCCGCACCCCCACCTCATGCTGTTAAGGATGAGATTATGACTGCCTCACTCCTAGGTTCTTGGGAGATGAAGGCCAAGGAGATACAAGTGATGAATACAACACATGAGGATAAGCAAGGAAGTTTTTGTTTTTGTTTGTTTGTATTTTTACTAGTATCTTTGGTCTTTTTTCATTTGCCTCCCTTCCAAAGATACCTCACCCAGACAGGTACATCAATGGAGCCTCGGGCGTGCCCATGTGTGCCTAGTGGACAAGGCCCAAGCTCTCAAGCATCCTCTCCCCCCATCTCTTTGCTTAAGCGGTTTTCTCTACCTAGAATCCTTTCCAGCATCTTCTGCCCAAAAGAAATAAATGGTACCTCGTTCAGGCGACCAATCTGCTTTTCCTAATCTTACTCCTCCAGCCCCACGACTTCCTCTCACTCTCACGCTGTTTTGCCCTCATACACATCCCTTCTCTGAGCTGTGGCTCTGACCAAATGTGCAGCTGGAAGTGACTCCCCTCATGTCTTCACACTCTGCATCCCCCATCAACAAAGCCTTCTAGCTTTGCCCGGCCCGTAGGAGTCCCTGCTCTTACCATTTCCTGGGACCTGCCACCACTACCTCATCATTCCTGGCCTGGGCTTCTTCTTAGAAGGCCCCCATCACTGTTTTCCAGGCCCCTCAGTGTTCCTATTAAAACAACCTGATCATGTCCCTTCCCTGCCTCCCATCCTTACAATAAAACTCCATCACTTTGCTACAGCCCTGCTTATGACCCTGGCTGCTACCTTGGCTTCCCATCCTCTCGTTCTCCCCTTTACTCTCTGCCTGTCGTGCTCTAGGCTTTCTGATGCTCACAACATTCCTTCTTTCTTGCTCCCCCCACCTTAGACAAAATGTTGTGTATCCCAGGCTGAATTGAACTTACTATGTAGCCCAGGCTTGTCCTGAGCTTGCAGCCATCCTCTTGAATCAGCCTCCTAAATACTCCTAGGATACTCTTTCCTTCCCCTTGTTGCATATGCTGCCCTTCTGTCTGGGATGCTCTTGTGAGTCACATGACTCACTCCTCAACAAGAGTCTGCTTAGTAGACAAGGCTTTGTGAGCACGCATCTCACAAACAGCACGTTTGTGCCTCATTATCACTCCACACACCCCTGGTCCTGCTCAATGGTTTTTCATGACCCTTCTCTACAAATAAATGCTGCATCATTCATTAAGTCGTTGATATCTGCATCCCTCGGCTAGATGCAAGCCACACAAGGACAATTCATCACACAATGCCTGCTCCAGCTAGGTCCTCCATGATACTGCCTGGAGGAAGGAGAGCCAGCACCCCTTGACAGCTGCTCCTTATTTCTCAGCTCATCCTGCAGTTCCACACTCCTCTTGGAGTATAGCTTACACTCTAAACACGCTCCTTACGGGCAGGATCTGGATCACCACAGTGCCCAGCACACAGTAGGTGCTCAGAAAATGCCTTATGATTAAATAAAACTGAGTGAATAAAGTCCACACTAGGAGTTGGTGAGATTCTCCCAAATGATTTTGGAATCTCACTTACCAAAGCTCTCATCCGCACAAGTTCGTATCATGATTAATAAACTTAGACTCTCGGGTTGGAGATGTAGCTCAGTTGATAAGGTACTTGTGCGGGAAACTCTAGATTTGATTGCCAGCACTGGAGAAACAAGATGCGATAGCACCACCTGAAATCTCATCACTGGAGAGGTGGTGACAGGAGAATGAGAAGTTCATGTTCTTCCTCAGTTATATAGGAAATCCAAGGCCAGCCTGAGATATACGAAACCCTGTCTCTATACAAACAAACCCTCAGGTGAGTAAGTTTCTCCTCATTCATGGCAAGCTGAGAACCTGGGCAGCTTACCTGAAGCCCATCAAGATGCTGGCTTTGTCTTCTACTCCATGAGTTCAAGGTTCTTCAGGGGGAGTTACTCCAAAAGTGATGGTACAGCCTGCTCTAGGCAGGACCTTAAGGATGCTGCTTATGTCTAGAAGTTACTAGGAAATCCACCTCTATCTGCTTCATAGCATGGCCTGATGCTGCATATTAGATAAGAACTCAAAAGTGAATTCCCTCCTGATGGTCAACGTGTACAAAACTGCAGACCTCACCAAGACAGCAGAATGCCTTCTCTATCTACTGCTTGATCACATGACCACCTCAGGATCTTGGCAATAGACTGTGGGAGAAGTCCCCTGGCTCCTGCCCGTCTTGTGGGGGAAGCACTGACTCCATATCCAGGATTCTTTGGACCCTAAGTTGTCCCTCCTTCCATAGATGGCACAAAAACAAAATCACTTCACTCCTTAGGGAATAATTGCAACACATTTTTATCCTGAATGCCCTATACCCCCATGATTTCTATCACAGAAGGACAGCCATCTAACAGGGGACAACATTCTCAAGCCCCAAACACTTAGCATTCAAATTGACTGAAGAGAACTGGAAAACACTCACAGTTGCATTCTGGAAGTTAGCTTTACATCTGTGCTTCTTAGCCTGCTTTCCAAGGCCTCTCCTGTATCCAGGTCCCCACCTCTCTGGGTATGAAGGATAGGTGTGCCTAGGGATGCTTGTGTGGTGATGAGAGCTATTGCCACTGGCATTTTTCACCAGGGATCTAGGCTCAGTCTGTCTCCAACTGACACCACCGTCTCACCAAATATCTCAGAGAAGAGTGTTGGCTGTACCTGCTGATTCACCAGCAAGCCCATTGCTGTGAGATCTAAGTAGTCCTACCTCAACTTTTACCTTATTACTGTTCATGGTATTAGACAGTAACTATGGGCCCTGTTAGAGATGGAGATCGTAGCCATACCTTCATGAAGAATATTTTCCTGCAGTGTTTGCCTCGATCACTCCCAGCTGCTTGGAGTTGAGCAGCCTCCTCCGAGGCCAGTGCCAGATCTGGAATGTTGCTGAGCCCAGCCTCCGATGTGTCTGCCAACTGCATGGAGGAATGAAGGAAACCCTCCTTGCCCTGGCACAGCGACGACTCAAAAGGGTCTGGGTACTTCTCATCAGGGCTAGAGCTGTCATCACTGGTCTTGGCATTACAGAGGATCAGAGAACGGGAAATGGAGCGAAATTTTGTGGATTTCCGGCTCTTTCCGGCATGGCCGTGGGGCTCCATCCTTAGAGAGGAAGTAAGGCCACGCTTCTTCCTCTCCTGTTCTCCAAGCCGTGGCCGGTGAGTGGCAGCTGAACTGGGCTTAGCAGCCACTGCATGCGACCCTGAAGGAAAAAAGAAACGGGAAGAAATGGTGTGACATGCTGCCCGTTCAAGTCCTGGAACTGAACTCTGAGTGCGCACGAAGCAGGGCAGATGCCTGGACCCAGCCAGTCTGCAGGCCAAATGGACTTAGATAACTCAAGGAGTTAACACCCTCTCTATGGCCCAGGCTCACAGAGACCAAGCCTAAACTCTTTATCCAAGCCTTCATCCTACAGATGGGGAAACTGAGGAACATAAAAGAGAAAATTAAATCCAAGATGCTAGCAAAGGAAATAAGAATCAGTCATGGGGAAGAGTTTAGAATTAAATTGCTCCTGGGGACCATGGCTTTGTAAGGCTTTAAAACTTGGAAGCTAATCTTTAAATGAAACTCTAGTCTGTAGAACAGAGCAAGGAAGAGGCCAAGGAGGATGGAACCCACTGCTCTGGTCCTCTTGTACTCCTTTGTTTCTCTTACAATGTCTCCAAAGGAATCTGAGAGCCCAGGACTCAACCCAGGGAAGATTGGAGTCTTCGAAAGGCCGATTTGCTGTGGCTGGGGCAAGTGCAGAAGGTTCGGCAGACAGCTGCCTCTTGACAAACACATGTGCCCTTCCTCAGGCCCAAGAACACACCTTCACCAATGTGACACAAGCGGCTGTGAGTGCATACTCTGTGAGCCATCCACAGTGGTTCACTCTCCCAGCCTCATAACCCTAGGCTGCCTCCCCTATCAGGCCCACAGCCCAACACAGCTTTGCCAAGAGGCACCGCCCATGGATTCAGTGTCCATGAGATAGGTGGCAAAGTGGCCTAATGCTGTAGCCAGACAAGTTCTGACTTGGGTCCAAGTCACAAAATAAAGCCTGTTGCCACAACAACAAACTGTGGGATGCTCTTGGCAATGCATCCCGATGTTTGTGCACATGCAGGATGGAATCGGGAGATGCACAGAGCATCCAACATTTCATCACATAGACATTGTCACATGATGCCCAAAAGAGAATGCCTTCTAAACACCTAGCTTACACACACACACACACCGCGCACAGAGCATCCAACATTTCATCACATAGACATTGTCACATGACGCCCAAAAGAGAATGCCTGCTAAATACCTAGCTTACACACGCACACACACACACACCACACACACACCACACACCTGCACAAGCCAGAGATCAACACCTGATTTTTCCTCTGCCATTCTCCACCTGTTTTGTTTTATTTTTTTGTGCATGTGGTGGGGTCTCTCACTGAACCCACAGCCTTCCTATTTGGCTAGGCTCCCTGGCCAGTGAACCCCAGACATTCTGTCATGTCTGTCTTCACAACAATAAGATTACAGGTGGGCACTACTGCACTCATATTTTTCCTGAGTGCTAGAGATCTGAACTCAGGGCCTCATGTTTGCACAGCAAGCATTTTCTTGGCTGAATCATCCCCAGCCCATTTACTGCTTTCTGTATTAATAATTAGTTGAATGATTATTTGGCAGCTGTCAGTGTATCAGGCACTGTGCTGGATGCTTTAGTCAAAATTAAGTCAGAAGATGGCAAGAGTAGGTAAGAGTACTTGCCACCAAGCATGACATCCTGAGTTTGATACTCAGGACCCACATGATAGAAGGAGAGAAACAAAATCTACACATTCATTGTTCTCTGACCTCCATACATGTGCCATAGCAAAAGAGTACACACACGCACGCCCTAAATAAAAAAAAAAAAAGAAACAAGCAAACCCAAAGCATTATATTATTGCGTCTTGAGCTGACAAGATGAGGTGTCTCAGCAAATGAAGGTGCTTGCCACTTAGCCTGAGACTTTAGTCTGATCTCTGGGACCCATGCCTCCTCCAAGTTTTCCTCTGACTTTTAAACTCCACATATATGCTATGGTGTAACTGTTTGTAACCATACATATGCACATACTAAATAAAAATAAATATTACAAAAAAGAACACAACTCAGCATCGGCCATTCCATGAGGCACCACTTGCCAATAGCCCAAAACCCTGTGTTCTCTCTCTATCTAGCTCATGTGATGGGATTGCAGCCCCAATGGAGTGAGCCTGTAGTGACAGCTGTGCTCGGTGGCAGGCTTCTGAACCTGCAGACCACACTCATTCTTGAGCAGATCGGTACAAGAAAACCTGGTACAAGAAAACCTTGCATGGCCACCAGCTGGCCTCCAGTACTGGCCAGCGAATGTTCTGTTTCCATATTTCCTCCATCCTGCACTCAGTGGTGACTGCTTTAGAATGTCAGCGCAGTGTGCCAGGCGCGTTGCAATTGCTTTACCATGTAGCTCTCAGAAAAGGGCGTGTGGGCTCTGATACTGGGCAGTGAACATCATAAAACTATGCAGTGAGACTAGTGCCTGAGCCTTCAGGCTGGCTCCTCACAGCCCACGCCCCCAGCACCCCCCTCATTGCTTCCTTGTTCCCCTTCACCCAGTGTCTCCATCTACATGGGGTCTTGATGATCAGCATCTGAACACACTAAACCCTTTTCCGTCCCTAAAATATGTGGTAGGCCAGACACAGTGGTCCCTGTAATCCCAGCACCCGGAGGTAGAGGCAGGAGGATCAGGACTTCAAGGCCAGCCTCAGCTATATAGTGAGTTCAAGGCTACCCTGGGAAAGGTAAGACCCTATTTTGGAAAACACACAAATCTGGCTCCTGACACCACACCTGGGTACTCTTGAATAATCTCTCTGTGCTCTACTCTTTCCTTAACTCACCACTGCTTTCAGATCCAGCACAGGGTTTGCTTCCTTCTCTAAAGCCATGGAAACTCTGTATCAGTTCCCCATTTAATGTGTCCAGAGCCTCAATGGTAAAGTCCAGAGGCTACAAACCACTCGCTGAAATTTGCTGTCTCAAGAGGATTGCTTGGGGTCTGTTCCCGGTCTTTAAGCTCTCCGTGCCATTTTCTTCCTGTTACTTGTTTCTCTTTCAGATATCCTCTTTCAAATCCAAACCATCCCCGCTGCCCTTGGGCTGATGTTTCCAACACGTCTCAACTCTCTGTCCTTTCAAGTTCCCAGAACTGCTACTCAATGCCATAATCACTGTAGATAACAACTTAGGTTGAACCTCCTTCCTTTCAGATCAATCTCCGTGGGGCACGCATGGTGTATGTGTGTGGTGTGTGGCATATGTAGTGCGTGGGATGTTTTCTGTATATGGCGTGTGTATCTCCGTGTGTGTCTTTGTGTATGTGTCTCTGTGTGTTACAGCCAGCACTAGCACACCAACCATTTGAAACTTTGAAAACTAATGAGTTGTGTGTGAACGTCCTTCTAGGACTTTCCAGCACTAGGCAGGGAAGATCTAAGAATGCATTGCTGAGCACCACTCTGTGGAGAGCAACGTTGACCCAGAAGGTTCAGAAACCATGCAGATGAGGAGGGAAGTGGAGAAAAGAGCAGGGAGCAGAAGGATGAAGAGAATGTGTGCAGAACCAAGCCTAGATGCTATCATACAGCAGCTGGATCTAGCCATGCCTGAAGCTATGGTACTTATTCTGTTTTGTGAATCAACATATTCAGGTTTGGGCTTAAAAGTGTGTCTTCATGGAATAATAGTCTTTTAGTCTGCTGCTAGAGGTCTACATTCTGGAAAATAATAGTTTCCTAGGGCCTTAGAATTTCCTGAGTCTCTTCAATTCTAGTCAAAGCTTGTCTTCACTCTGTCCACTCATAGCAGCTGGTTCTGGCAGTCTTGATCCAACAATTTCCATCGACCCTGGGATTATGTACCCCATTCCCTTTCTCCACTATGCCCTTTCCTAACCTACATGTTCCCCAACCATGACCAATCATGTGCTAGGCATCTTCTAGAGCAGCGAAGCTATGGGGTCCTTTGAGGTTGAGGTGCGAAGCTGTAGGATTCCTTGTCTGGGAACTCTAGCTGCATGCAGGACTTCAGCCAGATGAGGGTCAGATTCCTTGGTGGAAACTACTCGTCCCGTGAGGGTTCCCAGAATGTGTCCACTGAGTACTGTCAGCTGTAAAAAGCAAGCTCTTCTACGGGAGTGGCCATTTCTAAGGCTGGGCTCTCCTGAGAGAGGGCCGGGACCATGGGATGAAAGGGAGGAAGCAGAGAGGCAAGGCCTTCATCCTCCATCTGAGAGCAATGACTGGCCCACAGGAACCCAGTCACCCCAGAAAATGTGAAAGGGAAGGCGTGCAAGAGTGGAAATGGAGAGCTGGGCGTCTGTGGAAGGGACCTCCCTCTAGGCCTGGCACCAAGAGAGATGGAGGCCAGAGGCAGGAGAGAGAATAATTGAAAACACAGCATGGCAAGTCACACGGCTCAGCTTAGCGTTGGTAATTGTGCTCAGGACATTGGAACCAGCTATTGCTCTCTCATGGAACCAAATGTCACGGTGCTGGGGGGCCAGCTCTGCCAACCTCCTCCTCAGCACTCTCTGAAAGTTTAAACCAATAACTGTGCTCTTATAAGGGCCCCCAGATCCCAGGGTTCCTTGCCAGTGTCTTACCAGGTTTCCTCTGTCCCTCGCGGGTTCTGCGCAAGGCTGCCCTGAGGTTTCCTACACATAGAAGGGCTTCACCATGACACTCCTCAGAAGACCTCCTGCCTTCCCAGCCCAGAGAATGTCAAAGGACCAGAAAACTGCTCTCCCAAGTCCTGGTCAGTGTCCCTCCAAACACTGGAAGAGGATTGGCTCTCTATGCCAGGCCTCCCACAGAATGAAGGTGCTATACCGGGGTCACCTCATCCTGGACATTACCTGGAAAAGAGGGCTGGGGACTGCTGTCTTCACAGTTGCTCAGGACAACTGACCACAGTTAAACTGTCATCTACATGGAGTGCTGTGCCAAGGGACAGGACAGGGCTACAAGCCAGTGGACACTTGCTTCCTTTAGAGGCCTTGAAGAAAATTCTAGACCACGTACAGCCTATGGAGCAAGGTCTGTAAGTCTTCCTTCTCTCTACTCTGCAGTCCCTTACCCCCTCTCTCTTCTTTCCTCCCTTTCTTCCCCATTACCCATT